CACGGTGGCGGGATGAGCCGAAGGCCATTAGATAGCGTCCCAGGTCTGTACGCTGTGCCATCAAGGTGTGCCCCGAATCATGCACTGACACACGCCTTTTAGGTACAGCCTTCTACGTGCGTGATGTTTACCATCTGCTGCTTAGGTTATCCTCGTCGAACATCAGAGCTTCGAAAATGCTTGCGGTCGCCGCCCTGCACGGACAGGACATGACCCAAGGGCGGCTGCTCAAGGACTACACTGCATTACGAAAGTTTCAGGGGGGCGATGTGGAACTCACATCATCTTGACCCGTGGCGCGCGAAAAGAAGTGAGGCCAACAACTGCGTTTCCTCCGCCGCTTCTGAAGAATCCGACGAATCTGACGGAATCCGGCTCAGAATCCCAAACCTGCGCCGTCGCTCGGAAATTCCTCGCAAAATCGGCCCCAAGGTAGGGGCCAAAAGCGCGTCCGTCAGTGTTTCTGGAAGAGCGAATTCTTCATTTCTGCATACACGGCAAAAGCCCCCGATCAACAGCAGACCGGCTAGTACTGCTGCACAGACTGGCCAGCTGGCAACTGCCGAGACCTGGGAAGAAGGTGAGACTATCGGGGGTCGGCTTGCCGTTGCCAGCCTTGGCTGCCGCCCTGCTCTCGTAGACGCCTTAGCTCTGGCTTCAACGTTTGTTGCGGGCCCATGCCTGAATCAAATGTCTATTTGTGTTGCCATCCGCTCACGTGCAACAGTCATCTGGATACTTCTCTAGGGGAACAAAAAGTAACATAAACATAAAAGCTCAGAGGTCCGCGCCGATTTCTCGGATCGGCGCTGGACCACCCTCCCTGGCGCGCAGAGCGCGCCAGGGGCGGCGCCAGAGGCGCCGCCGGGGGGCCTCAGCGCCGATCCGAGAAATCCGCGCGGACCTCCGAGTTTTTATGTTTATGTCACTTGTTGTTCCCCTATTCTCCCTGCATCGGCACAGACTCGACAGGATTCGGCTTGATGGCCAGGCAGAGCAGAGAGGAGGGACAAGAGCGAGAAGACAGGCACGGCGAGACGGGCCGAGCAGCGACGAAACCGGCACGAGCGGCACTGAGGAGGAAAGAGCTGCCATCGGTGGGATGCGGAGGAGGCGGAAGACGAGGAGGAGGAGGAGGAGGAGGATGTGGAGGAGGAGGAGGAGGAGGAGTTGGAGGAGGACCAGTGCAAACCCAAGACGCATTCACGAGGTTGCAGTAAGCTCTCCCTCCAAATTCCCCTTTTAAATAGGGCCCCAAAAGAGTTGACTGCCATTGCGGGAAGTGGCCCATTGGAAGACAACCGCCAGATGCCAAAACACCGTCAAGGGAACTTTCACGCCACGGATCAACATGACTGTTGCGTCCATCCGAGATCGTGCCAGTAGACCACTCCTGAGATTTCAACATCGTGAATCAACGTGACTGCTGCGTCCCGACAGTCCTAAATCGTACCAGAACACTGTTACTGGAATGTCGAATACACGAACCCCTGAAATTGCTGCACACTTGTAAAACGAAAATGCGCGGCGCCAAAGCGACAGCCGCATAGCCACATCTTGAAAAGGAACCACCATCCATCCGTGATACCGCTGCAAAACTTGTAGCCACAATTTGAAAACGGCACGCCCTCTATCCGTGAAACTGCTGCAAACGTTTAAGAAAATATGAGCGGCGCTAAGGCGAGAGCCACATGTTGAAAACGACCCATCCATCCATGAAGCTGCTGCATTTTGCTTAACGAAAATCTGCGCGGCGCTGACGTGATAAACACATGTTGACAACGGTCCCCCCTCAATCCGTGAAACTGCTGCAAAGTTTGAAGACCAATGAGGCGCGGCGTGAAGCTCTTGCAAATGTCAAGCTTTAGGATCATGGACGGCGAGGAAATCTCAAACGAAACGCCCAGCCCGCCCTAGCGACACATCTGGAGGTGCGACAAGGGCGAATCATTTATGAGCAGAAATGCCGGAGGAGGACGACGAGGAGGAGGAGACGGACGGAGGAGTAGCAGGAGGAGGAGCAGGAGGAGGAGCAGGAGGAGGAGCAGGAGGGGGCTGACGCGGGGGAGGAGCAAGGGGAGGAGAAATGGGAGGAAGAAGAGCAGGAGGGGAAGAACGAGGAGGGGAAGGAGGAGGACGATGAGAAGAACGAGGAGAAGGACGGATAGGAGAAGGAAAAGGCAGAGGAGGAGCAGGAGAAGAAGAGGGAGAGGAACTGCCCAACCAGAGATCTGCCCACATCGCTCAGTTGAATGATCAAGCAGGCCACTTCGCAGCGCAGACTTGTGAACAAAGCTTGCTGCTTCGAACGGTGGCACGCGGTGGACGGCAGCAGCCACAGCAGGAAGAGGAGCAGGCGGCAGCGGAAAAAGAGGAAACCAACGACAGAGGGAGAGACGGCAGGCAACGCCACACACAGCAGATGGGTACGGGATGCAGGAGAACCTATCCGGCTGAGCCCTGAGCATCGGAAGCTAAAGCGGCAGCTGCAGCGGCTACTCGGCGCTCGAGCTGTTCCTCGCCACTCGCAAAGCAGACACTTCCTCCACCGCGGCGCGGCAGAGGCAACCCGCTCGCGCGTGTAGCAAAACCCGGCTGCAGAGTTGCTGAGTAGCCCGCATGCAAGAGGGAAAGAGGGGGGAAGAGAGGGCGGCTGCGGAGGAAGGGAACGGGGGCGCGGGGGCGTTCAACCAAACTCCAACGTCTTGCGATACGCTTCCTGACTTGCACCCGGCCCTCGGCGAGCCCCAAGGGCCAGGGAGAGGCGCGAAAATTCCGCGGGGCACCTGCTGGCAACCCGATGCCTCCTCTGCTGTGCCGCCTCGCTTCTTCGATGGGTGCCCTCACGTGGCCGTCGATGAGCAGGCCGTCTCGCCCGGGAGCGGCGACACGCCTCGCAGCCTCTTGCGCAAGCCCCGTCCCAGCAGCAGGCGGCTCCCCCGTCGGGGACCTGCTCCTTCGTACCCCTGCTCTTCTGCTGCGTCTTCTGCGGGCGGCCTCAGCCAGCTGCAGCCCAGCACCTGCATCGGCCGCCGCTGGGGCCCAGCGCTATCGCCGCCTCGCCGATGCTGGGGGGCGAAGGGGCCCCGGAAGCCACCTCTGCGTTGCCGGCTGGAGGCGCAGAGGCTGCAGCCGGCATCGCCTCAGCGTCAGGGGCAAAGGCCCCGGCAGCAGGCTTAGCACTCTCGTCGATGCCGTCCCACTGCTGTCATTTTGAGGGCGTCTGCGCGGCGCTATCGGCGACCTTCGAGTATGTCTGCATGTCCACGGTGGCGTGGCCCTCGGACGCGTCGAAAAACTGCGGAATCGATGGAAGCCTCCGAAGCTGCGACCCAGGGTCACCAGCGGATTCGCCCCCTGCCGAAAGAGTTCCCGATGTCGTGGATGGAGCCGTCCCCCGTGTCGCTCAAGAGGCTGGTACGCTCGCCCAGGCATTTGAATACCCGGCCGAGCCTCAGGAACAGCTGGCGCGCCAGAACCGACTCAAAGCTCTCCAGGAATTCCTGCACGAAGGCTTCGGTGGCACGCCAGAAGAGAGCGAGCCCGGTGTCCACGTGCTGTGGGCGGCGGCGGCCCCGACAGGGAAGCAGCTTCAGCACGCAGCATCATAAATGCCCTAGCCTTGAAAAGTGTTGCCCCATGCGCCTGGCGACCATGCGCAGCGCCTGGCCATGAGAATCAATGGTACGAGAGGAGGCCCCGGCGGCAGCCATGAGCGAAAGCTGCAGGGAGACACGTGGAAAGCAAAGCAAAACTGGAAATCTCATACGGCGGTACCGAGCCAAAAATCAAATTGCCCTGGAGCAAGAGGAGGAACGGGAGGAGCAGGAGGAGGAGGAGGCGAAGGAGGAGGGCTAGTGGCTCAAGAGACCTGTCCACGTGCCAGGGATGAGATTGCGCGGGAGCACGTGGCTGGGGCCTGAAAGAGCAGAAACGAACTCGAGGCTTCGCAAGCTCAACCTGCATGCGGGCAGAGAGGAGTGCGACACGATCGGCTGCCGCATCCCTTGGCTCACGCCCTCGGGATGACAAATCTCGGCGACAACTGCACGAGTAACATACGATGGCGACACGCACAATAATATCATCACCCGGCGTCGCGGGCACGAGCCCCGGGCGCATGGTGAGCGGAGCAGCTCGGAGAGTCAAGGCCAGCTTCGGAGACAAGGACCCAGAGAGGCCCGCAGCGTAGGCAGTGCACCCGGTTGCCCCCACGGCCAGGGAGCCCGCAGAAGGCAGGGCGGCGCAGAAGCCGGAAGACAGTGAGAGGTCGGCCGGGCTCCTAGCCTCCTCCTCCTCCTCCTCCTCCTCCTCCTCCCCCTCCCCCTCCCCCTCCCCTCACCGCCCCCTCCCCCTCCCCTCTCCCCTCCCCCCCCCCCTCCCCCTCCCCCCTCCCCCTCCCCTCCCCCTCCCGCTCCCCCTCCCCCTCCCCCACCCCCCTCCCCCTCCCCCTCCCCCTCCCCCTCCCCACTCCCCCTCCCCCTCCCCCTCCCCCTCCCCTCCCCTCCCCCTCCTCCTCCCCCTCACCCCTCTCCCCTCCTCACCCCCTCCCCCTCCCCCCCTCCTCCCCTCCTCCTCCTCCTCCTCCTCCTCCTCCTCCTCCTCCTCCTCCTCTCCTCCTCCTCCTCCTCCTCCTCCTCCTCCTCCTCCTCCTCCTCCTCCTCCTCCTCGTCCTCCCCCTCCTCCTCAACACTTCAAGGCGTCCCATGAAGAGCTGATGCTGATGCTGCCTGGTTCCTTTCGGCGGGGTCCACTTCGTGAGCCTCTGAAGAATTACGGCTGGTAGGACACTGAGGAACAAGCTCGCACTCATGGAGCGCTTGAAAATGGCATGCGTCTTCTTGATCGATGGCAGGCGGCCCTCAGCTGCAGCCTTCTCTGCCTCGGCGCGCCGCTCTTGGCCCAGGGTCAGGACGGCCTGTGCAGCAGCAGGGCTGATCGCCGTCAGGCTGGGGAACGCCGTGGCAGCCTCCTCGAGGTGGGCCGCAGTCGTCTAGGACCTTCAGAACGGCGGGGACGCGCCTGCCATCGCCCAGAGGCTGTGAGTCGAGTCCGCCGTGCAACGTGGACACCTCGCGCAAGTGGCTGGGCCATTCCTTACACTGGCTCACGGTGTCGCAGGCCATGCGTATGCAGGCAGCCAGGGCAGAGACCAGCTTGGACGGGATCTGCATGAGGGACCCCCTTCTCAAGCCCAGGAGGGTGGCGCGGGATCCGCTGTTGGCGGGCAGGTGCAAGGACTCGCGGATGGCCCAGTGGTCGAGCGCTCTGAATCTGTTGCCGTCGTGGATGGGACACTGGCTGACGCAGCCGAGGACCACGAAGGCGCACGTGCGGCACGTGGCCAGCAATGTCAATGAGGGAGCGCATACTGCAGCCAGCTCGGCCGCGCGACGCGTGTACTTCGCCAGCGGCATGGACCACGAGCGAACGTCAGCGCCAAGCCCGATCACCATGCCAAGGTACAGCCGAAAATATGATCAAAGAAATCATGACTTGAGAAACCTGAGCCAGCTTTCCGGAAGCTTCTTCAAACTACCCTGGGCCAACTTTTCGATTCACGCTGTAGGGGCGAGCGTGCTGAAGAAACGGGGCCAGCTTTCCAGCAAGCTAATGAGGAAACCTTGGCCCAGATTTTCGGGAGGAGGTGTCTGAATTGTATGCTCGACCGTACTTGGTGAAGGCCTCGACCGCGAGGTGTCGCCATGGCTCGCAGTGGTCGCCCAGACAGGGCAGGGACTCCTCGCGCACTTTCGGCTGTGCAGGTGGCACGCAGTGGCACGGCCACACACTTCTTGAAGCTGAGCGGAGGCGAAGCAGGAGGCGGACGAGAAGGGCAAGGATGGGGAGGAGAGGGGGCAGGAGGAGGGGGCGGAGGAGGGCGGGAGGAGGATGAGGAGGAGGAGGAGGAGAAGGAGGAGGAGGAGAACGAAGAGGAGAGGAGGAGGAGGAGGAGGAGGAGGAGGAGGAGGAGGGGAGGCAGGAGGAGGAGGAGGAGGAGAGGAGGAGGAGGAGGAGGAGGAGGGGAGAAGAACGAGGGGGAGAAGAGAAGGAGGCGGAGGAGGAGAAGAAGGAGGTAGAGGAGGAAGAGGAGCAGGACGACGACGAGGAGGAGGAGGAGGGGGACAAGGGGGGAGGAGGAGGAGGAGGAGGAGGAGGAGGAGGAGGAGGAGGAGGAGGAGGAGGAGGAGGAGGAGGAGGAGGAGGAGGAGGAGGAGGGGGAGGAGAAGGAGGAGGAGATCCCTGGAGGTCTCGTGAGGTCGCCAGAGGTCCCAGGAGGCCCCCAGAGGCCTCCAGAGACCCAACAAAAGAAAAAAACGAAAGGGTGGATCCCCAAAAAAATAAATCCTCGATCCGAAAACTTCGATCCTCGATCACCGATCCTCGAGGAGCGTCAAATGATCGAAACGGGCTTCGAGCGGCGCCTTCTTCTTGGGAGGCCCTGCGGGCACCGCCTTCGCTGCCGCTGTGGCCACCCCGGCCTGCACCGAAGCAGCCTGTCGCGACCGCGCCCAAGTTCCTTCATCCTCCTCCTCATCACCACCACCATCATGATGAACGTCAGCATCATCATCATAAACATATCATTATCAACATCCTCAGCAGCATCATCATCAGCTTCGTCATAAGCATCATCAGCAAATGAAGCAGCATCATAATCTCATTCGTCCGCATCATCATCCTCGTCCTTATCCTCCTCCTTCTCCTTCTGCTCCTCGCCTCAAGTGGATTCGAAGTCAAGGGCATCGGGTCGGACCCCGAGCTTTTCACTGATTCACGTATTACGCCTCCGATTACTACTACCCCTACGACTACTACTCCTACTCCTACGCCTACTCCTACTCCTACTCCTCCTACTACTACTACTACTACTACTACTACTACTACTGCTGCT